TGCCCCCAAATGTTTCTAAGTAAATTTCAACCCAAATGTGTTTAGAGTTGTGAATTGAACCTTTTATATAATACTTAAAACCAGCTACATCTAAAGGCAGAACAAAGCACCTTCCTATCACTCAGTCTGCTCCCTTCCTCAGTTATGTGACTTTGTCTGAGTAACTTCTACCATAATGCCACTACAGATGTGGAAAGAACATAAGATGCTGCCACACATTTCTTGCAGTGTTAAGTACAATGTTTCATACTTGGCTAAGCAATTATTTCAGTAAATAGGAACAAGTAGTTTTTATCAACTAATTTTATAACACTAAAAGAATCATATAAAGGAAAACTGCCTCTTCTAAGAATTCTTTAAAATCAATTTTCTTAGAGAAATGTCTTCTCTTACAGAGAAAATAAGGTCTTTGGACTACTAAGATTTTCAAATAGACTCATCTATTCATGATTATTGATTACTGACTGTATTCAAAGCACTCTGAGACTCAGTTCCCAATGTAGTTTGTGTGCATGTTGTGGGCAGAGGGTAAAAAGGAGGACAAAAATCTAAAGGAGTTCATTTTCCACAGAGGGAGGAAGGAAAAGCAGACTTCACAAAGGAGCTGAGGGTCTTAAGAGAGTCACCAAGCTCCTCAGTTTCAGGTCTGGAAATTCCAACATTCAGAGGACACACAGAGGATAAACAGAGAGCAGAGGAGATGCTGAGGAAGCAGCCAGCAAACTAGGAAAGAAAAAAAAAATGGGTAGAAGTTTCTACTTTAAAAAAGAGAATCAAATGTGCAAAGTTCCTGAAATAAGTTATATCTCAGCATGTTGTAAGAACTTTAATTAGCAAGGAGGAACATAATCTATTAAAGCCAGACTCAGACAGTTAAGGATCATTTTTTCTCTCACGTGTGGAAGCTAAGGAGAAAAAAGGGAAAAAAGACAGATCAATAGGATAGTGAAAAAGAGTCAGAGGGAGGGAAGATGGGAGGGAAGGGGGGGTTGAGGAATGAAATTGATAAAATTACATTATGCAAATATGAGCACGTCATAAATGGGGTCCGATATCACATATAATTATCATGCACCCATAAAAATTATTTTTAAAATGAATGAGGAGTACAGAGTAAAAATGGAGAAGGGCAAGACAAGAGGCATGGAAATGCTTAATTTCCTCAATAAACACTAAAGGCTTTATTTGAACTGCCTTTCATAAAACAGTGAATTTACAAAAAGGCAAAATAATTTAATATTACTTCTTAACAAGAATTCAGTACTTTCATTGTTGTTCAAATAATTCATCAACTGTAAGGGAAGGAGCTGATTTCTCAGATTCTGATTTATGATTAATAGTCTACTGGTTTGTGTGTGAGTGTGCACGCATGTGTGTGGCACGTGAACATACACATGTGTACATGCAAACACATAGCTACATTTCTAAGAAATCAATATCTCAGGACTGGCGATATAGCTCAGCGGTAAAGTGCTTGTTTAGCATGCACAAGGCTCTGGGTTCTATCCCCAGCATGACAGTGAGTTGGGGCGGGGGGAGGAAAAGATAAAAGTAAAAGAAAGAAAAAAAAATAACTATCTTATTGAGGGAAATTCTGTTAGCAATCTGTTTTGCACAGTCAACTTGAACATTTCCTGTGATACCAATGTCCTAACAGATATGTGGGTCTGGAGTGCTGGAGAAAAGGGTGACAAAGTCATCAACACATGAGTTTCAGAAGTCATAGCCACAGACAAGGCCCTACATAGTGAGAAGTGAGAAGAGGCCCCAAGAGAGAACTCTGGAAAAGGTCAACATGGGAGGAGCAGGTAGCAAAGGAGATACCATTTTTTTAATTAATATTTTTAATGTAGCATTATGCTACTGAATCTTGAATACTTTTTTGATTTGTTTTTTTTTTTTTTTTCCAGTAGTGGAGATCATACCCAAGGCTCTGTACATAAAAGGAAGTGCTCTATCACACGGCCAGAACTTTGATCATTCTAAGATAATCCAATCTGTTTTGGAAATAATTATTTTACCTAAAATATTATTTAAAAGACCCATCCCATACAGCACAGATGAGTCTGGGGTACAGACTCATTGCACATCAATATTTACAGGCATAATTTGTATTTTGGGCTTTTGATAAAACCAGTAAAGTACATACAGCAAATATATAGAAAGGAATGACAAGGCTGGGGCTGGGGCTTGTGGCAGGGCGCTTGCCTGGCACGTTGTGAGGCACTGGATTCGATCCTCACCACAACATAAAATAAAATGAAGGCATGTTGTCCAACGACAACTATAAAAAAAAAAATAATAATAATTATTATTATTTAAAAGAAGACTGACAAGGCCATCACAACTCAAACAAGCAGAAAAACCCAGTTAAAAAATGAGTTCAATATAATTGATTTAATTTTAAAAGGACTTAGGACAGACTAATAGCTAGCCAATGTGACATTTATTATAATAAGTCAATAAACCACACTAGAGCCTCTTCTTGCCTAAAATTATCAGAATAGATAAAAACTACCAGCCATAACACATAAGAAAAACAAAAGGCTATTTGTAAATGCCAATACAATATCAGTAACATAAAATCTAGTCTCAATAATTTCAGTAAACTCAGTAGGTCTAATAGTCAATAAAGCAAAAAACATTTATACTTTCTAAAAGTCACTAGTAAAATTCTGTACCAAAGAAGCCATTTGATAGAATAAAAAGATGGTGGGAGTGGAAAATCTTCTGAAACTTGAACACTTGGTCCCAGATTTATGAACTATGTTGTAGCCCTGAGAGGTAGAAGAGGCTAAAAATAAACAATCTTAAAGGACTTAAGAGAATTCACAGATGACTGACAAACAATGGGATCTTGCAGAACTTTGGGAGATCTGCCTTATCTTGCTCAATTCCCTTGTCACCCATTATTTGTTCCATGATCTCACTCCAGAAGAAAACCAGACCTTAAACTAACATTTGGCTGTTGTCAGTGTCAAAGGCAAAATGCTTGCCTGGAGGAAGCACTGATGTGGATCAGCTCTGCACTTAGATTGGTGTTAAAGAGAGAGAGAGAGAGAACAGTAATAAAACTATAGCTGAGCCACTGACTAAAGACTTGATGGTTTTTTTCTAGGCATCTGTTTGAAATAGGTTGCAAGAGCCATGAGGATTTAACTGGAATTTTTTTTATGTGTATTTTTGTTTTGTTTTTGCAATGCTGGGTAGTGAAAACAGGGTCCTGCACATGCTAGACAAGTGCTCTACCACCAAGCTATACCCTCAAGACCTTAAAGCTGATTTTAATGGATTGGGAGGATAAAAGTTTTACAACCAAGATCTAGGGAAAAAAATTTTTTGGCAAATATAAGCATTAGGCCAGCATAAACTTCACACTTGAAAGCATCAGTGTTTATTGGCATATTTTCTCTCAGCCTTTCTCAGAAAATAGGATCCCAGGGAATACAGGATTCAGCCCCCAAAGAGCAGACAAACATGGTCTACTTGAATTCATCTCAAAATTGTCATTTCATCTCATCAGAAAATTAAACTAAAGGAGATACTTCCATTTTTAGGGTTTCTTCTTTACCTTGTAAATTTCTGATGTCTTAAGGTCTTCATGAAAGGAAATCAAAGTGACTGAAGTGATTTGGTAATCTTCATCATCAATGTGTCTTACAGCTTATTACCAACAACATCTGTTCTCCCTTATTGAAGATAGTGACCCTATCTTACTAATCCCCAAGTAAAATGGAGCTAATAATAGCATCTACTTAGTGAGGCTGTTGTGAGGTTTAAAAGACACATAAAGCCCCCCGCAGAGTGCCTGGTATGAGATAAAGAGCTCAAAAACAGTTGTCAATATTATTGTCTCATTTTATCCCTTACAGCAATCCAGTAAGGAGGAATTTTACCATTTCAAGGGTGAGAACACTGGGGCCTAGTGGGGTTGACTCAGCCAACAGGGCTGTTACACAGCCACACTGCTCACCAGCACACCATGCTTTGGTACAGCCATGTGGGGCAATGGCTAGTGTCCCTCAGCCTATACGGTCAGTGCTGGAATTTGATCTAGGCTTTCCCTCTACCACCTGTGAAATACTGAATAAGATAATAAGTGCTCTGGATATGTTTCCTCATTTTAAGGACCTACCTCAGAGAGTGATTCTGAATATTAAATACATAATAAAGAACTCAAGAAGAACATATATTCAGTAAGCATAAACTGGACTCTTTTCAAGTGTCAGCACTGTCATAGGCTAGAGTTCCTACATTTATCTGTTTATGAGTCATATGGGGAACTTTTATAAATTCCAACTGCCCAGCCACAATGGAGACCAGTTAAATCACAATCTTTGAGGTTGGACACAGGCATCCAAAGCTTCCCACAATTCCAATGTGCAGACATACGTGAAAACCACTGTGTTTCAGGCAGCTGACTCAAGTACCTTCCCTGAAGGAGTCCTGGTCTACTAATTCTTACTTTCCTAAAAGTCTCACCTGCTTTGGATTTCAGCAGAAAAGCCATCACTGCTTTAACTCAGGTCCTCAGCACCTCTCTACCAATTGCTAACTTAACCACTGCATCGTCATTTAGTTCCCTCCTATAAGCCAAGCACTGACCATGTCACCCCTATGCTCAGAATCACTGAATTAACTGGCTCTGGCTACCAACTCCTCACCATCACCTTCAAAGCCCTCCATAAAAGGCACAGATAGTCTCTCTAGCCCTACTCCCCCTGCTCCTTTTGCCAGTGATAACCCAAACTAACTAGATAACTCACTGTCCCTTGACAACATACCCATTTTCAATCTGCAAGCAGGTTCATTCTTGAGGATACAGGAAAAAAATCTTCATACTATTAGATAATCTATTGCCAGTTGTAAAAGAAATTTTTCCCCAATTTAAAATTGTGTTCTCTAAGTTATGGTAACCCTGGATTTTTAAGGAGGCTAACACCTTTAATTTCACAATTTTATAATATCAGATTAAACACACACAAAACAATTCCTTTTACCTTAATTTAAGAAGTGGCTGGGTCACCCACTTCTTTAAATTCCGTCTCCCAAATGAAGTTTTCGTATGGTCTAAAACCCAAAGTAAACTTCCTTTGGTCTTCATATCAGTCTAAGAAAGATCAGAAAACAATTTTTTTTAACTAGACAATTATACTTGTGCCAAATCATTAGTGTTCATGTACCTTAATTATTCCATTTATTCCAATTTTAAATCTATACATGTCTGGCATAATGTGTGGCCATAAGAAATGTTCATTTGATGTTTGATGAATGAAAACATATACACATAGATATATACACACATTCACACAAGATAAGTACTGATATTTATCACAGAAAAGAGAAAAATCTGGGTAGTTTTTGGTTAACTAAAAATAAGTTAATCAGAAGGCTCTGTGGAAAGGGAGGCCAAAGTTAAGTAGCAGAGCAAGCACCTTCTGCTTCTACAATGACTCAAGTCCTGACAATAGAAAGAATCCTAAAGGGTATTGGGATTGTAGGTGACTCCTGCCTCAGGAATTAGATTTCAGAACTGACTGGATTTGAATAGGGAAGATGTGGCAGGAAAAAAGAAAGCTTGGAATGCTGGAGCTGTGCCTGCAGGCCTGGGACAGGAGCACTTCTACAGCCAAGGAATGTCCTTCCATTCCTGCTATTTGTTTCCTATCATGGGCATTATGCAGAGCTAATGAGACCTGCAAGGACTGATGTGCAGACCCTAGATAACTCAGTAACAATGATAAAATTATTAATGAGTAAAAACAAGTCTGGCTGGAGTACACTAGGACAGACTGCAAAAAGGAAGAAACTAGTTAATACTATGCAGACCCAAATATCAAGAGAATAAAAATCAGTATTTACTTATTGCAACAGTAATATATATTTCTGGAGAGTTTTTAAAACCATGATTCAGATGATTCATATTTTCTAATACTCAACCAAATAATTTGAAATTGGTACTTTGTTTGGAATTGGTTTTTATTTATCACTTTGTTATAACACTAATTTTACAATATAATGTCTCACCTTTCCCAGTGATAATTTAATAAGTGAAAATAATAATTTTAAAGTCTCCATTATCTTCCTAATTGACCAACAAAGGCCAAATAAACAATGATGAAAGTTTGTGACGTGAGATATGATGCATCCTATAGTCAAGCTGAATATCACAATGACTTGTTCTATATGCTGATAATACTGAACAGTGCAAACAATTCAACAAAGAGTTAAAGGCATGTAGGAAAAAATATATTCAACCAGATGCCACAAAAATCTACTTCATATTAATTTTCAAAGCTGATACCTTCCCAAAGAAACATTTATATAGAATGAGGATACAGAAATCAACTATCAGATGACAAGCAGAGCAGGCAGTTGAAGACACTATTGCTCATTTCCATCTGTACTCCTAAAAACAGACTGCTACCTTACTCTAAATGTTTTTTTCAAAACCATTTTGAGTCAACTAGCCTTTGTGTGTACCTGACCTGGTTCTGTAGGATTTCCAGATTCCTTAATGTTGTTCCATTAATTGTCATAAATTCCATTTCCCTTGACAGCTGTTTGAAATTCCTGTGAGAGAATGAAATAAAATGAGCCAACATATAAAGTGCATAACGAAACTTTAAAAACTAATTTAGGAACCAAAAACAATACAGTAACACTATGATAAAAATTAGTATTTTGATAGAAAATCAAACCAAAAGGAGCAAAATGAAGTTTTACTGGGACAGTGTCTGCTCCAAGAGGACAGCTGATCTAACATCAAAAGCAAGGACATGAAGGGAAAGCAATGGTAACAATATTTTGTTTTTGTTTTACATTTCCCCAGGAATAGAACTAAATATAGTCTTTTATCACTAGCAAAACATGTGGTGGTATCTTTAAGAAAAGCTATGCAATTAGCTAGAAAAATATGTCAAGATACTAAAATTGTTTCTTTATTCTTTAGCATGACCTCATCTTGATAAACACTTTAAAAGCCTGTACTCAATATCTGATAGGTACAACAAATGTTATTTACTCTATGATTAACAATACCCATTAAGGTTGCCAATGTTTATAAATATAAAACAGAAAGTATAGCAAAAGTTATTTCCTTAAGCTTAAAGAATTCTCGGTGCTCCTTATGTCCCCATAACTACCCAAAACTAAATTTAAAATTCAATAAATTTCAAATAGGCTTGAGAATGGAAATGCAACATAATAAATGTATGTACAATTCCAATTCATGTTAAGAAGTCTTAATCAATGTATTACAGCAATTCAATTTCCTTTATCGGTCAATCAGACATTTCTGCCAATAGCACTTAACAGACTTGATGGCTTATTTTTAAGGAGTAGAAAAATAATGGCAGTTAATTTAACTAAGTAAGGAAAGCATTAGTGTTACATTGTCAAACCTAACAGCATTTCTCACAGCTGAAAATGAGACTAAAGTAAGAATCCAGTTTCCGTAGCCAGTTATGGAATTGAGTCCTCATCTAGGAATCTATATAACCAAAAATCAAAGCTCAAAGAAACAGTATTCATAGAGAGATCCCTTTTCTTCTAGATGACTCCCCCAACCAAGGCCCAAAGCCCTGGAAAAGAGAAACAACTTACTTCACGTTAGGAACGTTGCCTAGTTACTGAACACTGTTCTTTGGCAGTGTAATTTGTCTGCAACAGGTTTGATCTACTTTGCAAAGGATGATAACCTATTAATGATTTTCAAAGGGCAGCAACTCCAAAACTGATAGATGGCAGGTATGTGTGGCTTTTCTCTCCCTCTTACAGGAGTCAATTTAATTTGTTTCGAATTTCAGCAATTTATGTTGTATTTCTAACCTCCTTAATAAATCTAAGTTCCTTGGAGGCAAGAGTTATTTATTTATGTCTTACTCATCTTGTACAATCACCTAGCAGACTATAGATGCCCAGCAAATGTCTGCCACTTTCCTATGGGGAAGCCAGTTTTGGTTTGTTTTTTTCCTTCCCTTTGAGCAGTAAACCCTCAAAAATGACTGAAATAAAATAAAATATAATTTACAGGCAAAAACAATTAGGCAGTGAAATTAGGGAAGCTGAAAGATGTTCACACAAATCTCTAGCTAAAGATCTAAACTGGAAGGGCTGACAGCCTAGACTCCAAATTGGTATCTAACCAGATACTCTTGTATGCAGATATGAACCCTTTATCCATAGTTAATTCAACTAACTATGGCCTGGGGATAAGGAGTTAACATGTGAATGCCCTAATCCAACACGGACCTTAAGGACCTTAAGAAGGATGCTTATTTGGTGTCCTAAGTCATTTGGGGCTGCTATTAACAAAACACCTTAGACTGAGTAATTTATAAACAAAAGAAATTTGTTGCTCACAGTTCTGGAGGCTGGAAGTCCATGACCAGGGAGTTGGCACAGTTAGTCTGGTGAGGGCCTATTCCTCACAGATGCCCACCTTATATGGTGATGGGGACAAACAGACTTGCTCAAACCTCTTTAATAAGTGTACTACATGACCTAATCACATCCTAACGGTTCTACTTTTCAATACTACTAAACTGGTGATTAGGCTTCAACCTAACGTGAATTTTGGGAGGGAAATGAACATTCAGACCTTAACAGATAAAATGAAAGAAAAACTAACCCAGAAGCCTTAATCCAGCATCTCTGCTAGCTCTCTTTATCTCAGAGGTGTAAGAAATCTTTCTTCACTGGTGAAATAAATGGCATATAAGTGTGTAAACCATTAACTGAAACACCACTTAATTGCCCACACCTTCACATGGACAGAATTTGATAAACCAGTAAACCCAACAATCCATCCCTAGGGATGATGTTTTAGGTTTATGGTTCTGAAAGCATCCTCCATTCCTTCCAAAATCTGAGGATTTTCTCAACTGACTCTAACTAAAAGTGAACTCCTGCTCCTATTATGTGTCATGTATGTCTGAAGTGAACTGCTGAAGCAAGGCATGCCAGAATACCAAAAAGAGAATTTTCTGAACCAGAGAAGATTTTACATGCCTATTTTAGTGTTCACTTGCCAATATGTCCCTATACATGTGACAAAATTTGGTTTGGACCAACATACTGCCTTGTATAAGGGAATGGGGAAGGAAGCTTAGAACCCTCATCTACAAAGAATTACTGAAGACTTTCAATAGCTACAGTATCAAAAAGAAATCAGTAACTATGACCAAAGCAAATTGGCTTAGGTTAGCTCATAATCCTAGATCTTTACAAAGACAGTTTCTTTTCATTAACAATATTAATGTGTTATATCAATCAGGGTTTTATCTGGCTAGTTGGCCTTGGGTTGCTTTGTTGTCATTCATTTTCTTTTTTTCCTAACTGAACAAGTACTCACATTTCAAATTAGATGCAGTGAGAAACTGTTTCCTTAAACTGACATCTGTGCTGGTTTTAAGAAAAGAAATCAACCACTGGTTGATCTGAAATTAACTTAATACTGATTCCTGTGGAACAGTAATTATCAAGCAGCTACAAAGAATAACCATGCTTTTGGAGCTTCAATATATTTAATTGATAATATTTTGGACTTGGACTCTTCCCTCCAAATACAATAGAAATTTCCTTCTGTCAGTTCTGATTTCCATGAGAAATTCTATATATTTTTGAACTATGTGCCAGCACTGTCAGGTATTCAACAATATATGATCAATGACCTAAAATATTCAAGCCAAATTTTAGGTGCCGTGAAATGAACCTTATAAATAATGCCTGAATGAAATCCACACTGTGTAAATCTGAAAAGAAATCTTATAAGTAACATGGGAAAATACTTCATTAGTATTTCAGACACCAAAAACACAAAGAATGCTTTTCTTTTTTTTTAATATTTTTTTTTTAGTTGTAGTTGAACACAATACCTTTATTTTGTTTATTTTTATGTGGTGCTTGGGACCAAACCTAGCGTCCCTCACACACTAGGCAAGTGCTCTACCGCTGAACCACAACCCCAAAGGAAAATGTCCTTGCCAAAAGCTTACCAGGGAAATTAAAGATTCTCTATCACTCTTAATCTACTTTTTTGGGAAAACATACAACAAACAAAACCTCCAAAAGCTAATCTTTCTAATTTTGACAAAGGTAGTAAAGGAGCAAACCTTATCTGAAAGATCCATCATTTAAATATCACTTAAAAATAGAAATAAAGACCAAAAAAATCCACCTCGTCACATATGGAATCTACAGCAGAAGATAGTTCTCTATATGGTTTTCAGAGCTCATAAGTTCATCATTTGTCTTTTGTGCAGTTGACAAGTTATACACTGCATTACATCACAAAACTACAGTCTTACAGTATTTGCACTTCTAATTAAATGAATGACACCATTCCTAAATGCTGACAATAAGCACATTAGAGAGGGAAATAAGTAAGGTATATGTTCAGTCCCCAAGAACCCTGCCAAGTTCAACGATTTGCTGTGAAGATACACAACTCAACATAAAATTGTACTAATAGCTATGATTTATTATTGTGAAGAGCACAAAGCAAATTCAGACAAGGGACAAAGTACATGAGGCAAAGTAAGGAGGCAAATGGGTACAAGCTTCTAAGAGTCCTGTACTGGTGGGGTCACACAAGATGCAGGGGGTGATATTCTTTTCCCACTGAATTATCTTAACACCCTTGCCAGTAATCAATTGACTACAAGTACATAGCCTTATTTCTGGACTCGCAATTCTGTTTGATTGATCATATGTCAGTCCTTTGTAGTAAGTTTTGAAATAAGAGTTTGGGTCCTCTACCTCTGTTCTTTCAAAACTGTTAGAATTATTCTGAGTACTTAAATTTTCATATGAATTTTGAGATGGGCTTGTCAATTTCTGCAGAGAAACCAGATGGGATTTCATAGACTGCAGTGAATTGATAAGATATAATATTCCCCAAATTGATCTAACAATATTAAGTCTTCTCACCCATGAACTTGGGATTCCTTTCCATTTATTTAATTCTTCTTTAACTTCTTGCAACAATGTCTTATAGTTTTCAGAATATAGGTTTTGTACTTCTTTTATTAAATTCATCTTAATTCTTTTCTAGGCTATTGTAAATGAATCTTAATTTTTATTTTTGTATTCTTACTTACAAGAATGTAAAAATACAGTTTAGTTTTACTATTTATTTCACATCCTGCAGTGAACTCATATGTTATATATCTCTAATGGTTGTATGGAATCTTTAGGACTTTTTACATACAAGTTCATGTTTACTTCTCCTTTCCCAATCTGGATGCCTTTTACTTCATTTCTTGCCTGGTACCCCAAGACAGAATATCCAGTAAAATGCTGATCAGAAGTGGTAAGAAAGACATCCTCATCATGTTCCTAATCTTAGAGGAAAAGCATTCATAATTTCATCAATAAGTATAATGTTAGCTATGAGGGTTTTATAAATATGCTTTTTCAGGTCAAGAAAATTCCTTTGGTTTCAGTTTTTTTAATATGAAAAATATTTTTGGCATTTTGCCAAAAGCTTCTCCTCACTATTGAAATGACTGTATAGGTTTTGTCTTTTATTCTACTGACAAAGTATATTACAAGAATTGGGTTTGGGATTTGTAAACCAAATTTATATTCCTAAATCCTTTTTATATACCACTGAATTCCATTTGCATGAATTTTGATGAAGATTTTTGTGTTATATTCTTAAGAAATATTGGTCTGTAGTTTCTTTACGTGTGTTGTCTTTGGTTTTGGAGTGATATTTAAGGCAAAATAATCCTCTTTTATACTGGCAGGTCTTATGATTTTAGGATGATTAACAGCATCACTGGACTATATCCATTAGATGTCATTAAAGTAGCTTATATATTAAATCTACTTTCACTAATGAAAGTATTCACCATATATTATTCTGTGATCATAAGAAGTTTTCTAATAAAAGAGTTTGACAGTTCATCTTGGATGGATTTTCTTACTCTTTCCTAAAAATTTCCAGAGCCTCCTTGAAGTTCTGACTAAACCAATCTTAATAAAAGTCATCCAAAATGACAAAAAAAAAAAAAAAAAATCATTTCCAACAAGAAATAAGCCAATTCCTTTGAATTTCATAAGTTTAGGAATCAGATTAGTACTGTCACAATAACTACATCAGCCTTTTATTACTATGAAAAAAACATAAGATAATAAACTTATAAGGAAGAAAGGTTTATTTTGGCTCACAGTTTAAGAGGTTTCAGTCTATGGTCATTTGGATTGCCTCTGGGTGAGAACATCAGGGCAAGGAATACATGGCAGAGGAAGCTGCTCACTGCACAGGGTCCCAGAAGCAAAGAGACAGAGAGGGAGAGGCCAAGGGTATGCCCAGTATTCCCTTCAAGGGCACACCCTGATGAACTTTCTCCCACATCTGAAAGGTCCTACCATCTCCCAACAGCACCATGGGCAAGGGACCAAGCCTTTAACACATGAATCTTTGGGGGACATTCAACATCCAAACTGTAGCAATAACTAACATTCCTCATATGTTATTTGTTCTATTATACAATTTTGCTCTGGAATAAACCTATCTAAAATCTCAAACCAATTTTTAAACCTCAAAATTTGTCTTTTTAAATAAACCCTCACTTTACCTATTCTCAGGAACAATTCCTGACATGCTGCATTTTCTCAAACTACCTTAAATTCCACTGTAAAGGCACAAGATCTTTAAATAAATGCATATTAAGATTTTCATGATATATGCTGCAATTTTCATGAAAGCATTTACCAAAAAAAGAAACTCAAGTTAAATTTATTTTTCTCCTAATAACACTGCTATTGAACCAAAAGTTGAAAAGTTCAGCAGCATAATATGTGATTATAAAGTAATACAACTGAATTTCACACACAAGGAGAATATTTACTTTCCCAAAGTAATCACTGTAAGAATTTCTTCTTTTTCCAAAATATAAGTATTGCCGAATTACATTTTTGGAATTATCTTCAGAGTAAAATTACATGTCACCTATAAAACGTAATCAACTTTAAACAAAACAACAGTACCAGTTTGGTTACCATCTTCATTCATTTTAATGTTGAATTCTAATTCCAATGACATTTTGCAATTTCCAATCAAGTCTCTCCTCCAGGATAAGGAATTCCTTCCTTTTTTCATTAATTCTACACTTAGTGATTACCTATGAGATTCTGGAAATATACACAAAGTGGGGATTTTTTCACTCTGGAGCATTTCATGCCTTTTTTGACTCTGGCTTATGAATTATCCAGCAGGTAGACATATAGCCACCAGCAGAGCCAGTTTCCTGATCATCCTACAACAAACACCACCACCAAACGTGTGGAGAGAACTTCAGTTTCACCCAATTTAATCAAGAGATTTGCCTTCAGGTCATTTAAAAATAAGCTTTATAAATTTCAGTACACACAGACATATTAGATTTTATTAATATTTAGTGATATCTTTACTTTTTAAATATAAGATGATACAATCTTTCAGGCCCAAATTCAACTACTTCTAAACACATCAGAGCTTAACTTAAAAATAACAAAGTTGGTTTCTTTATTCCAGTGGTAATACTTCTTTGTTTGGTGATGTAGGGACAGAAACGCAAATCGTAACAGGCAAGCTAGGTCACTAATTTGACTTGACTTACTTAGAGGCTTTCTACCAAGAACAAATCAAATGGTAGGTGGCTTATCACCTAATCTTTAAGGATCCAATACAATCAGCCATACAGATGGATTTTTTTTTAATGTCTTTAAAGCTCAAAGTTGAATCTAATGACATAAAATATAAGGCTGCTACTTTTTTTTGAATAAAATATTTTAGCCACATTAAAATGTGTATAGGTTAATAGAACACTTAGGTTAAAAACAAATTCATAAGAACTCCACTATGCATTTCTCCTGCCAACCATTGTCATTTTCCTTCCTTCTCACTGTAGGAAACCGCTCTTCTCAATTTGTTGTTCATGTCCATACATGTCTTTATACCTTCCCTAAATATGTCTGTGTTCTGTTACAGATGTTTCTAATTTCATATAATGTATGGGCTGTGTGCTTCAGCAACTTGATTTTGGCTCAGTATACTGCTAATGAAAATTTTAATATTGATCATGTGGTTCAATCATTTCATTGCTGTATAAAATTACATTTCATAAATGTGACACAATAAATCAAATTTCCTATTGGTGGCCATTTTTGTTTGTAAACAAGACAAAACTTTTCCAGATAAGTGATAATCTGATATTAAACACCACTCAGGAAAACACACAGCATAAGACATCACGATATTCCAAGGGTACCTGCCTTTTTTTCCACTCTCCCCATCAACCTCTGATTAAGCTAGTATTTGTCCAAAACGTCAATTGTCAGCTTTGGAATTTCTGAAACTTACAAAGCTAACTGCTCTTGCAAAACACTGTCTGTGTTAGTAGTTGACCCTTTTATCTTCAACTTTATGGTCTATAATATAAGAACTGAAACCAAGAATTAGAAGAGTGGTGATTTTTATGAGTGCTTTTTAATATTTTCTTAATATAGTTAGCATGAACTGTATTAACACAGTTTTATAGGTAAAAATTTATCAAATAGCTATCATGAATGTAATGACAGAATTCTATCAATATTTTTGCATGTGTGTAGGGGGAAAGGTGCTAGGCATTGAACCCTTGTGCATGCTAGGCCCTAACTCTGAGCTACATCTCCAGCTCTTTTTATTTTGAGAAAGAGTCTCACTAAATTGCCCAGGCTGATCTTGAACTTATGATCCTCCTGATTCAACCTCCCAAGTAGCTAGCATTATAGGAGTGCCACACCACACCCAGCCTAACAGTATTTTTATTAATATTTGTTATTATTCTTCAACAACAATACCAAACAGTTCATCCTTGTACTCTAGTAGGATATTCTGTCAGTAGCAGGTAAAATTCTTGAGTATATTTACCAAATTCTATTTATAAAATGTCTTTAATATGATCCCTACTTTCTTTCTTTCTTTTATTTGACTTTTGAGAAAGTACTTACTCAGGTGTAGAGAGCATTTTTTCCAAGTTAAATTCTTTGAGATATCTTATGATGGCAGCCAAAGAGCAAATCACAGGCTTATCCAAGTTAATGATGCCAGAAAAACTTTGAGAATCTAAACAACACAATATATAACCTCATTAACATTGTTATTACTATTAAAAATAAATTTTAAGTTATATAAAATTTATTTTATAGTTACTAAAATCAACATTTAGACAGTATCTTCTCAACTTGCCCTCTGGAAAAAATGTGATTACAAAAACTATGGCATAGAAAGAAGGGCATTTTTCTTCTTTTTTTTCCTTCCTTCTTTCTTTCCTTCTTTCTCGCTTTCTTTCTTTTTTGTAGCTGCAGATGGACAGAATGCCTTTATTTTATTTGTTTATTTTTATGTGGTGTTAAGGATCAAACCCAATGCCTCACACATGCTAGGCAAGCTCTCTGCCACTGAGCTGCAGCCCCAGCCCAACAAGGGCATTTTCTGATGGTGGAATGAATCTTTTGTTGGAGAACAGATCATTTTTTCAAAATGTAAAATGTTCAACTCTCTGGATCAGAAATATCCCAAGATGTGTATACAAGGAGTGGGGGTGGGGGGGACTAGAGACCAGCTAAATAAACATCCATAGGGGTAAGAGTTGAATAAATTTTGGTAAATCCAAATTACTATGTACCTACTAAAAGGAATGACTTACAGCTATTTGAACAGATACAGAAGGCTCTCCAAAACATATTGCTAAGGGTAGGTTGTATGATCATCCTAATCTCTCACTACAAATGTTACAACAGCTTCTTTTCTAGTCTCCTTGCTTCATCTTGTACCCTGCAAGTAGTCAATATGGCCGCTGAAGGAATTTTTTTTTTTTAATGTGCTTCAGATCATTAGACAACCTCTCAAAATCCTCCAACATCCCCCTACTCACTGACAGTAGAAGTCCAGTGACCTCCAAAGCCCTCTAGGACCTGTTCTCTGACTCCTTGCTACTGCTCAGCTCACTTCCTAACACTCTCCCCCTCAGATACTGTTTCAGTGCACAGACTCCTTGCTATTCCTTAAACATGTCAGGTACCCTCCCACATTAAGACATTTTGTACTTACTGTTGCTTCTGCCTGAAATACTGTTCCTTCACATGTCTACCCAGCTTTTCCCTTAACTTCTTCTTTGTTCATCTTTTTCAAGTACCATCTTCTCAGAGAGGCCCTCCTTTACCAGTCAATTTAAAATTTCAACACCCTTCCATGCCTCATTTTCTTTTTAGAATGTGTCACCTTCTGACACACTAACTTAAACTATGAATGTGTATGTATATACAGGTAGATTTACTCATACAACAATTCTTAAGCCAAATTGTTAAGGATTACCCTTCAGTCACAAAAGTGGCAAGGGCAGGGGACAAGATTGAGGGCATAAACTTCTACTTTTTTCTTTTTCTATTTCTTTTCATAGAGATGGAACCCAGGGCCTTATACATGCTATGCAAGTGTTCTGCCATTGAGTTCCATCTCTAGCTCTACGTTTTCCTTTATAAACAACTGTTTGACTTTTTGGCAATAAGCATTTTTTAAATGTTTATTAAGGAAATTTTAAAAGAATTTACCTTTTTAAATTTAAACTTTAAAGTTAATTTTTTAAATTTTTAAAGAAAAATTAAAAAATTATTCCAAATATTTTCTACAAAATTTTGTATTACTATATATAATATCTTATTATTTTTAATGATAGCTGTTTACAAAACCAAGATATAAACAGAGAGCTAACAACACTCTTTTGCCTTCTACTGAAAGCTGATTTTCTTGTAACTTTCTAGCTTTGCTCCACTAGAAACCTGATAAGAAGGAGTGCCAATGCACTATGAGGTAGCATTAACTTGAAATTATTGAGTTACATCTAGCCTGGGAAGAATTATAAATACTCAACTCCAGAGTACTGATCTTTCCTGAATACAATGACTTTTATAACCTATGTCCTTTGCAGAGGCTCCAGCAAGAGAAGGAGACACCTGGATAGTATGGGACTTTAAGCCAGGATGGCTCTTGTGCCCACCAGATATGAGTCTCCTTGTGAAGGAAGAGAACTTAAGCTCCCAATGGCATGATGGACTACTGCAAAGACTACTATGAGTACAAATCCCACCAAGAGGAATTCATATTCCATAAGCAGGCTGTTTTCTTGCCCATGTCCTTCAAGTGAATCTGATGCCTAGAGTGGATTATGGTATCCTTGATGATACTGCATCCTGATGTTGGAAGAGGGATACAACCTGAGACACCCGATTCAATTTGGCCGAAACATAAGGGATATGTAAAAACATAAGGGATATATATTATAAGGGATATGCTAACAGACATTAATGGTCCAAGTAGAAGGAAATGCTAACACAACACTGCAGCTTAAGTGGGGGTTAGGAGTAAGAGCTGATGATGAAAGCTCCACAACTTGGGACAAGAGTAAGTCTTGTCAGTATGGGGTGCAGTGAGGACTGGAGAAAGGCCAAATCTATGTCAAGAAAGAATGTCTATTCACCTTGCCATCCATAAAATGGCCCCTAACATAACAGAACTGGCAGGACTGAAGGGTACAGACAAAATTAAGCACTAATGACAGAGGAGATGTGAATTAGACAAGTAATGGTTACCTGACATATTTAGGCCCTGTCACTAGTGTATTTTAATTCTAGCAACCAATCTTTGAAAACACTAGCCTACATGAGAATATTTATCTAAACATTTTGTAAAATTGTAGGATAATAATAGGCCATCTTTAAAGATGAGTGAAAAGAAAAGTTGGTCACCAACTCCCTTTACTCCAATTAATCTGCAAGTAACTAAATGGTTACAACTGATGAGGGAAATGCTACAGTGGTGTTCTTCATGAGCTCAAGTAAAGGAGCTCTTCCCTCAGCTGCTCCCTCTATTTCTGGTCATTACGTAGTTGTCATTAAATTGAAGGTCATACTCTTTATCCAAATCTCAAATCAGTACCATTTGAGGACACATTGATAACATGTATAAAATATTTACCTTTGATGTCATTTACAACTTTTGAATAAAATTCCGTAACCGCCTGGAAAGCATGGCTGTATTCAAAATAAACTTTATCCATTCTTTCTACTCGAATTCTGTCATCCCGCATGCTGAAAGGAAAAAATGAAAATTTCAAACAGGGAATCTAAGAGTAAGAAAACAGGGCCTCCACAAAATAGCACCTGGGTGCTCATGAGAAAGTACAGCAAGACATTCTGAGACCTGAAGCTGAGGGTGGAAGCTGTGTACTGACCGATAATAAGGAATCCACAGGAAGGTGTGGAGAGACCACTAGGCCATATGAACTCACAAAACTGCACAAAGCACACTTTGAAGAGACCCTCATGTGAACAGAACCCAAAGTGAGGGGTTCAGGGCAACAGGGTGAAGACAGGGAGAAGATGTGAGCTGCTACATTTTTGAATATGGCAAATGAACAAATTCCAAAAACATTACACTAAGGAAAGAAATCAAACCAAAACGACTATATGCTGTAAGATTCAATATATCTGAAATTCTAGAAAAGGCAAAATGGACAAAAATTAATAATTGCCTGGGGCCAGTTGCAAAGGAAGGGGACCAACTGCAAAATGGCTTGAGAAAGTTTATTGGGATAAAAGCATTGCTCCATACTTTCACTGTGATGGTTACGATAATTAGTAGTGTTATCACAATTCAAACTCTATACTTAAATGTAAACTATATGGTTTATAAATAGCATCTCACACCTGAAGTTAAAAAAAAAACAAAAAACACTTCTATAGCAAGGAAGTTAGAAAAAGCTATTTGAGCCATGTTTTTCTTCTAACAGTTCAAGAAAACTACTGTCACATAAAATAAGTAACAGAAAAGGATCAAGGTCAAAAAGGAAAATAAGCAGAATAATATATCCACAAACAAAAGAAGTATGTCAGATGCAGATGTCCATAGCCATAACGAAAAATCATTTTTTTGTTAAAAAACAAGTTGGATTAAAAAATAACTTAGAAATAAACTGATAAAGAAAATTAGACACAAAAGAAAAAAAATCATCTCAGAAATGAAGGACTGACTGGAAGGAAAACAAAACTGAATAAATGCTACAAATAATAAAACAGAAAATGAAGAGGGAAAAATTGTCAGTCAAAAAGGAATAAAAATGAAAACTAAAAAGATTGAAAGTAAAAACTACAGAAAATAGCCAAAAGATCTAAAACTGTATAAAAAGTGCTTCTAAGACTCAAAGTTGAAGAGAAGGGCAAAGCAAAGAAGTAGAAAAAAGCATTTGAAAGCATACAGTAGAAAATCTGGGGAAATCAACCCAGAATGACCACCATAAAAAAATAAACTGGAAAATTATATCCACGCAAAAGGAGAAGTCATTTATAAAATAAAGAAAAACAGCCAGACTTTTCTAGCAATGTTCTATGCTAGAAAATAACAGTAACATACTAAGACAAAGAAACAAACTCTAGAATTTTCTATCTGGCCACCCTACTTTTCATGCATAAAGGCAAAAGCAATGGTAAAGTGCAGTCACCAGATCAGTAGCTTCATCGCTACCTGGAACTTGTCAAAAATGTGAATTCCCAGGCCCTATCCCCACACACTGTATCAGAGAATCTGGTGGAGAGACCCAGCACTCAGTACTTTAATGAGCTATTATGATTTGGAAATGAGGTATCCCGCCAAAAGCTCGTGTAGCAATGCAGGAGAGTTCAGAGGTAAAATGATCAGATTATGAGAGCTATAACTTAATCAGTGGATTAGTCCACTGATGGATTAATAATCTGAATGGACTGATTATGTGGTAAACTGTAGGCAGGTGGGGTATGGCTAGAGGAAGTAGGTCACTGTGGGAGTGACCTTGAGCATTATATTTTGCCCCTAACTCCCTTCTCTCTCTTTCTCTCTTCCACCCCCGCCCTCTTTCCCTCTCCTTACTCTTAACTTCCCAGCTGCCAAGCTGCCATAAGCTAACAGCTTTCCTCTGCCATGTCCTTCTGACATTATACTCTCCCTTACCTCAGGCCAAGAGTAATAGGATCAGCCTCACCTTTGAAACTGTGAGCCCAAAATAAACTTTTCCTCCTCTAGGTTGTTCTTGTCAGGTATTTTGGTCATAGCTATAGAAGGCGGACTGACACACAAGTCTTCCAGGTAATTCTAACACACACAAGGGTTTAAGAACTACTTTTCTAGAAAATGAATTTCAGTTAAACAAACTGATTAGAGAGACATAAGAATTGGGTGATAAGGATTTAATGCACATTTGCTTGAAGAACTCAATGAAGATGTAATGAAGACTGTAAGGAAGAAGGCACTGCATGCAAAGGACACATGCACTGTCAGAGCAGATACATTACGACTACAACATAAGAAAGAAATGGAAGAGCATGCTTTTACCTTTTTCAGTAATCTACACTATTTGTGGTCATATTTGTACTATTACACTGAAAATGTTATATGTGAAATAAAGGATATTAAATATCTGATATTCTAGTAATAGAACTAGATAGAGTACTTACATAAGGACCTCAAGGTAGAAAAAGGAGATAGAGATGTAAGACTGAAGAAGTAAAAACCCATTAGCCCTAAGTTTGAATCAGAAGTATTTTTGAACTCTTTATATTATTTACTATAAAATATGTTTATATCCTACATTTTCCCACTAAAGAGGCCTAGGAATAATAACCAATAAATAAGGAGTGTCCTATTATAAATACTATCATTTTCAAATACTTTTTCCTACTTAAAGGGCTTATTAGAGAAATGACTAATTCTAAGAATGGGATAAAAAATGTTTAAGAAAGCCTAGACTATCCTATTACACAAAAAAGCAAAAGAGCTAATACTAGGGTCATGGCAAAATGACATAGAAACCAACTTGAAGAGGCTCTCATTACCCAATTATGGGCTGATCTGAGCATCAGGATGAATGGCAACCACCATGAATCAAAACTCATTATGGACTTATGAGTCCATAATGATACTTTAAAAAGCAAAACTACTTAATTACCAGCAAGTATCACCAGCTACTCAATTCACAAAAAGAGACAATCACTAAGTATTGTATTTTTCCATTAGAAGGCAATCTGTAAAGTAGTCTTGCTCTTCTTCCACAAGAATCCAAAACCAACCAAGCCTCTCAATTCAACTACCAACTTACAGAAAATAAAGAGGAGCATGTTAAACTCTAGGAAGATGCAAACATCAAAATCAAGACTGTGGAAAATTCCATAGGAAAAACAATTGAGTTTATTTAGCAAGAGATAGAGAAGGAATCTGTAGATAAAATGAGATTATAAAAGACACTTTAAAAAGAAACTGGCAAAACTAAACTGTAGGGGTATACAGTCAGGTGATAAAACTACAAAGAAAATTAGGAAAGTGATAACAATGAAAAGTCAGAATCACGGTTACTCAGGGCTGTGACAGGGAGGGGCACATTCCCTTCTTGCCCTGGATGATGGTCCCCGGGCTTTCTGCTATATTTGTATTATACTCTTTCCTACATTTGTATCATATTTTAAATTTCTTTCAAATAACACAAATGTAAACCATTATAATTTTACTGGGTTTTCCTAAATTTAATTACCTCTGAAACCACTTTTTACTTTAAAAGTTCATTTTATCTCATAGGTAACTACCAATTGCTCTGAATTTATAATTATTTTGATATATAAGGGACATAAACAACTCAATAGTAAGAAAAAACAATTAACCAGATTTAAAAAACAAGAAAAGGACCCAAATAGACATTTTTCAAAACATAACATGCAAATGGCCAACAAGTATATGTGAAAATGCTCAACATTGCTAATTATCAGGAAAATGCAAATCAAAAATCACAATGAAACATCATCTCACGCTTGTTAGAAAGGCTATTATTAAAAAGGCCAAAAAAATGTATCAGCTAATATTTAGAGAAAAGGAACCCTAGCAATGCTAGTGGGAATATAAATTGAAATAGTCATGGAAAAAAGTACAGAGGTTCTTCAAAATATTAAAAATAGAACTACACTACGATCTTGTAATTCCACTTCTGAGTATGTGCCCAAAGGAAATCAGTTGCTTGAAGAAATATATGTACTCACCTGTTCATTGTAGCACTATTTAAAATATTAAGGTATGGAATCAAAGTGTTCATCTACAGAGGAACAAAATAAAATATGGCTCATATACACACACACACACACACACACACACACATACACATACACAAAGCGAGAGAGAGAGAGGGGGGGGGGGGGGGGGGAGGGAGGGAGAGACTTACTTATACACAGAACCTAAAAAAACTGAATTCATAGAAGCAGTGAGTAGAATGGTGTTGCCAGGGGCTGGAGGTACAAGGGGACAGCGAATAGGGGAGATGCTTGTCAAAGAGGACAAACTTCAGTTTGTCAGGAAGAATTATGTTTTGTGGGTATAGTCTGGTGATTATAATCAAATGTTAACATTTTCTTACCTCAAAATTACAAAGGTAACTGTGAAGTAATCATGTCAGTTAATTTGTCATACTCATTTCATGATGTACACATATATCAAGCTACTGAACATCATAAATATATAGTCTTACTTATCAAATACCTCAGAAATAACTGTAAAAATTTTTCTTTGGTCATATAAACTTGGAGGCACTATTCTAATAATATTTTAATAGCTTACAAGGCAGATATTAATGTAATGTTTCATCATAAAGACAATGAATTCGTGTTCCTCTTATAAGCACAAACAGAAAATAAGAAAGGTTAAGGAAGAAAGATACTAAAAACATGGTTAGAGACAAAAATAATTAATACAGAATCCAAAAGCTGAATAATACTGACATCGACATCTTAAAATTGATTATATGTATGACCTGAAACTATAAGGTGAGTCTAAGAGTAGGTTGGTATATAAGAAGAGCTCAAAAGCTTAGCGGGTTGAGATGAGTCACAAGTAACAGAAATTGAAAATAGGCTATAATGGTGTACTTAAATAACTAATAATCTTAATGATGACCTAAATCCTGAATAATTACCAGAAGGCAAAACACGTTTAGTATATTCAGTTTAAGAAGTAGGTTAAATATGACAATTTCAAATATAGTTGTTCCCTCATTATCCATGGGCAAAACGTTTCAAGACAC